CCCCAAAACCCCAAAACCCCGCTGATCTATTGTAAGAAAATTATAAAATAAGTAATACCAGTATCATAAATTTAAAATTATAAGATCATCAGGCTAATTCATTTAAGATTGAGGATTAGAATCATTATCAATCCTGTCAAGCCTTCTGTAAAAGATTTCGCTCTATTCCTCCTAAATTGCTTCTTAATCTATTAAAAGTCTCTATCTATTAGAATTCTACTAGGATAAGGCCAGATTGTAGTTACTAGAGTTAATGAAATCAATATTGATAGGATCATTTCCTATTTATTCTTCATCTTGCACAAGTTCATCTAAATTAACTGATAATTATAATTATGCATTCTCAGCATTCTCTAATCTTTCATTTTGAAGTCTAAAATTATCTCTCGTCTAATCGTGATTCATTTCAGTTATAATAGCATGGGATAAATTTCTTGATAATTCAGTATTAGATTTATTTGATTATTACTTTTTCGGAATTATTTCAGCTTTCTTTAATAAATCATGCTTGCATGTAGGGCAAAATGGAATAACACTAATTCCTAAATTAACATCATTTTGCAATTAAGTTGAAATCCATTAAGAAAAGCAACTTGAATGAAATATATGATTGCACTGTGTTTTCCTCATAGTATCCTTATCTTAAAATTCATCGAAGCATATTACACAACATTGTTGCTATTATTGATTTTTAACTCCAATCTAATAATCCTCAAAATTAATTTCGTGTGAAAGCTTATAAATCACATCAATTTTTTCCTGCTTTAAACTTATCAGTTAATCAACTTGCAACTAAGCAACTCTTATTGCAGTAAATGGATTGAAGATATGAGCGGTAGTCCTAATCGTGCGATAGCTATGGTATTTCCTGATTAACACAATTAAGACAGTGATAAATGTTACCAACGTTATTAAAGAAGCAATCACAATTAGTGCAATCTTCCAATTATCGACAGCTCTATCATCCATAGACTGTAAGTTAATTAATCCAGTTGCAGTATCAGTTAAGTTTTAATTTAAGGATTAATTAATTGGTCTAAATTGAATATCTGAGTCAAGAAATAGGTCCATCAAGTATTCTTTTTTATCTGATATTGGTTTCATCTAATTATCACATAAGAATTTTAGCCTTTGTTTATATTAATAATTTAAGTTGTATGCATCTATGTTTACACAATAGTAGCAATTTTCACCCTTAAAATTAATCGAATAACTTCGAGGAGGACACTAGCTACATTTATATCGATATAAGAATTGATCAAAATAACAAATTTGCTTATAATTATAGGCCAAAGGCAATTTTAAATCTTATCTAACTATAAAATTATCGTAGAATTTGCTAAACTGGAAATTAGACTCTTGCTCATATACAAGATTTGATTTATCAAAGTTTGAAAAAATCTACATGAAGTCTGGTGTGAAAATAACTTCAATGTAGTATAATTAGTAAACTGTTTTAGTGACTCCTTATCCATCTATGGAATCATTTGAAACTTAGAGGAAAATCATATAATGAACTAATCTATTAATAAGAAATACTCCAACCTATTGTTCATTATCATTAATCTTATTGAATATAAATTTCTAGTTAGAATTAAGATAAATTTCTTTTATCAGTGACATCGTGCTTCTTCTGTAAATCTAGATTTTGTTTAAAGGGTCACAAATGATGATTATTATTCTATCAGATGATACTATCTGAGTTTTACACATATTTTTAAGAATAAAGTCATAGTTAAGACTCAAAATTCCCTGACTATTGGTTGTAATTTTAAATTAGGTTAATTAGCTATCGTAGATATTTAGCTATTAAGCCAGAAATAGTGTATATTCATCATTAAATTCTCTTACAACTCCCATTTTCATGTCATATTATTTTATAGTTGGAAGATAATTAGATAGAGCTTTAGTTTGATTCTTAGTACTTTATGATATTATGAACTAGCCAACATCCTATTTATAAATCATATCAACTTGTATTTTGCTGTCAAAGAATGCTCTATCTCTTAAGTCAATATTAGAATTCTAAAAAAGTCTCTAGATTTTTGATAACTTGAATCCATCATAGTGAAAACTACTTTATGTTTATGTGTTATTTTGAGGATTGAATGAAAGAATATTTAGGGATCCTCTGTAAAAATACAGATCATGAATGTTTTCCATATCAATAATGGATTTAGGTATTGCTATCCTTATTTTAGGATCAAATGATGATTTAGAGAAAGATTCTGAATCAACTATATATGAGTTAGGGGAGTTCTTACAACCGATAAATAAGAGATAATCTCCTCTTATCGTGCAATAATCCTCTTATTTATCAACCAAGTCATCAAAGAATGTATCTAGCGTAAGTCCAATGAATTCCTCCGATCTTATGAACTAAGCTTTGAGTATAAATTGAAAAAAGTTTGAGAGTAGAATTATATTTTTAATTTGCATTGTGAAATTATCAATAATAATAATAAAATAAAAGTCGCTCTTGAAAAAGGATAAAGAATATCTATAATCAATTACACTCAAAGTATACCTATTTATCTGAATCACGGGGTTTTGGGGTTTTGGGGTTTTGGGG